ATTTCCTCCAGTCCTAAATCTAAATAATTAAAAGAATAAATGATTTTTCTGATTTTCTCAGATTTTTGCAAAGTAAATCTTTTCAAGTGGTTAATGGTCGAATATCTTTTATTTCGAATCTTTCTGGATACCTCTGTATATACATGTTCCTGTTCATCTCCCAAACTTCTTGGAAAGGCTCCCAATTTTTCAAATAGTTTTGCACCTGAACGAAACAGACGTTCACCTCTGGAAGTTTGATAGAAATGAAATTATATTCAATATGTACAAACAATAATAAAAAAAATAATAAAATCATTCCAAAAAAAAAAGTATTACAACCATCGTTGAGTTTCTGTTGAAGATCCAGCAATTCTGGATCTTTCTCGTATATCTTCCAGAATGGCGGCACTTGGAAGTCGAATTTGAATTTGTTTATCAGTTGAGTCAAGCGTTTCAGAGGATCTAGAAGATTGTCGAAGATCACTGCAAACTCCATGGCGATCTCGCTCAGATCCGGCAAGAATTTCATCTAAAAGAGTCACAAGTTTCTTTCACTTTAAGTTTCAATCGTCAAAATTTTGTTAAATTAAAACTCAGTCAAACTAAATTAGAATTGGAATTGTGATCAAATTGAAAGAGATATACCTTGTTGTCTATAAGTTCTACGTGTATTAAAATGAGCGGCGAGGGTGGCGTGGTACCATCGCCGTGAAGAGCAACATGCATAGCTTGCAGAGATTCGATCAGGCACATCTTGAAAGCCTCGCCTATCAAAACGTCCATCCTGGACAAATAAAGCTTCCACTCTTGCAGACTCTGTTAAAAGGCGGCAGTTTCACGAGTGGATTATAAAAATAATTATCAATCAAAGCTTATTCTCACAGAGAATGTTCCACGAGAGAGGTTTCACGCTGAGATTATGCTGAGAAATTTGTTCGCCTCTCGCCAGGAGAGCAAATTTCAAAATTTAACAGCCAGTGATTTTAAATGCAGATTTTCCTGGCGACTTAATTTAAAAATTTTGCAAAGTGAAGTGCTTTCGAAATTTTAAAAGCTTTCTATATTTAAAAAAAAAAAAAAAATACACAATTTCCAAAAAGTAACGACCGCCGCGAAATTAATATTTATTTTCCATTTTTGGAAGCTTGTATTTTTACTTTTAACCTGCGAACGACAGGCCCACATCATCAAAGTTTTCACTATCTACTTTCAACAGAATACTATTTAATAATTATTGAAATATAATGACTCAGCTTAACTCACTTTAACGAGGACTTATTGAACCAATAAATGAAATCTAAAATAACTTTCTACGAATCTAGAAAATTTGATTTATTATACTTTCTTACTTTCTTACTTTTCGAAAGTTATTCACACGCTTGGTGAAAAATTCTCTGCATTATAAATTGTTATAACTTCACAAACGAACGTCGTTCAATTGGAACAACTCCAATTGATCTTATTTTGAACTATAAAGGCTCTACTTTGACAGTCTTGCGTTAATCTTTTTCAAAGATATTTTTACATCACGTGGAAGTGCAAGGATGTTTCTGTAAAAATTGTAAAAATTCAAATGCCTCTGGAAACAGTAAACAATTTTTTCGCAACAATCTCTTCAAGATTCAATGAGATAACGCGAAAGGATTGTACAGCAAATTTTCGACAAAAGGTAATGAAAAAAGAAAGAAAGAAAGAAAACTTTTTTTTGTCGAATGTTTGAATTTTTACAATTTTCGACGATTCACCTTCTGCGCGATGTAAAAAAA